TCTTTCACAAAAAGTATTTAAAAATGAAAATCAAATAAAAAAGCAGTTCACCTTGAACCACCGGAAGTTGTTAGCGGTCTGCAGTCTGCACTTGCAGCTTGCGATCAGAGCTCTTGCGCTCTATCTTTGATCGTTATGATTCTCGTTCCAAGTCTGTTTCATGCACAATTCACCGATGAAATGAAGAATGGCAATCTGGAGTACCGGGATAAGCATTTGAAAACGCGACACGTGAGCTACGAACACGTGAACACGCTGCCAAAGTGGGCATCAGGTCACCCGCGATGGGAGGAAGCGATTTGCTTTTCACAACCCCCCCCCCCAAACTCTTGTGTCGACTTTGTTTCTCCGTGTCGTTCATCTTACGGGCGTTATGGCCGTTGCTCATCCTGGCACGCGTGCGCCAAGTGCCTGTGCGGTCACGGGTCGACCACGGGAGGTCATTTGATGGAAAAGTAGATGTTGGGTCCAAAAAGGTTGGGCACCCCTGCCTTCGAACAAGAAAGATGTCCTACTTCCTTGACATCAAGAATCTCCCACTTTGTTGACTCGCAAAGTGCCTGACCAGCTTTTTTTGTCTTCACGACGGCAGTGCAAATTCCCCACTCAATTTTGTCGATTATAAACATTTCGCGATGCCACTTGAATACCGATTCTCCTAGCAACAACTGTACCATTTTTTTAAATGGGTGAGCACCACCCTATCATCAAAGTTTATTACTTTATTGTCTTTCGATAAAATGCAAAACTGACCCAAAGGTTCATGTTTGGCGAGCTGGCAAAGTGAATACTTCTCTTGATGGAGTTTGTAGTGACTTCTCTTTCATGCATGTGTGTGTGTGTGTGTGTGTGTGTGTGTGTGTGTGTGTGTCCTTCACTTGGAAAGACCTCTTTTTGATCCCTCTGAATTGATTGTAGTCCAGCAGTGTCTGATCAAGGGGCATCCTTTTTCTTTTTTCCGATTTCATATATCTGTAGATGTCCAAATGAAAAACACGGCCTGTGATGTGATTGCCCGGCCGCCAAAAAAGGCACCGACATTGCCCAAAAAGGGCAACATATTGTGTCAGATAGTCCGACTCGTTCAAACGTGAAAGGTAAAGTATCGCTGGCGGTTGGATTGTTTGGTCTTTGCGCAACAAGTCACCGGGAAACCAATCATAAATGGCCCAAGTACAGAGCACACCTTGCTTGGAATAAGTAGAAGTAGAGATAATTGTGTCTGAAAAAACAAAAAAACATTCATCATAAATCTGAAAAGCAGAAGGACCGACTAAAGTCCTGGACTGGTTGTTGTCACGCACAGAAGTAAAGAACAAAAAAAAAATGAGCAATGCTCAATGGAACCTTTTCAGAACGACTTTGTGATCGTCCATCAAGCAGGCGATCGTTGGTACGCGTCCTGCGATTGACTGGCGACCGCTCCGCCATTTGTCTGCGTGTGGTCTGCACCACACAGTAGGAGCATCGTTTGTTGGTCTGGGCCTTAAAATTGACTTCCAGGCGAGGGAGGGAGGGGGCATGAGAGAGTCACGGTCGTAAAACAGGCCAAAATTCAGATGACACTCATGGCATTCTCGGCCTGCTTTGACCATGTGCAAGCGTGGAAGAAGAAGTCACAAATCGACGTTTCGACGGATGGAGTCGCTCTCGAGTAGAATAAAGTTGATTGCTATTTGCGCAAGTCATTAACGTGTCACTAAGAACAGGTTGACCAAGGCTTTCTGTCAGGTTCTTCAGAACCAAAGCGAATCATGTTTTGGATTCCAGAAATGCAGGCTCAGACAAAGTGCGAAAAAAAAAAATTATTGCAGAAAAGTACAGGCTGAAATCGCTGGCCACAAGGAGCCAGGAAAAGCAACCAAACAAACAAAAAACATTTCATCAACCAAAAGGCAAAGTACAAGGAAAGAGCAAGAAGAAGTCCAATTAAGCCAAACCAAAGATCAGGATCAATAAAAAAGCGATCATGAAAATACTTCCAAAGTTCAACGGCAAAACGAGAGCGAAAGGTCAAGAATGCAACAGCGAGCAAAGTCAATCATCCGACAGAGACTTGGCCGCGCTACAAAGCTTGGCGAGGCTCGATGGGGAAACGGCGGAGCGGGTGCGCCTGCCCCAAGGCGGCGGCCTTCGCTCTGCTGGTCGCGGCCAAGTAGTGCACCCCGGTGGCCATTTCCATCTTTGGCACTGGTCGAGCGATCGCTTCGGACAAGGAGCGCAATTGTTCACGTGACTTTCTGATCAATGCGCGCCTTGGCAGACTTGTTTGCTCAAGCGAAAGCGGTGATGGAAGAATCGTTCTCGTGCTCTCGGCCTTTGCTCAGCGGGCTCCCTCTCGGGGTGTGCCAAAGAATCACTTATGACGATAAAGTTTACATTTCAAACTGCAAATACAATCAAACAAGAATGCAGAGATGCCGTCGAAACCATCGTGCACATTTTTGGAGGACCAAAAAATCCCATTCAATCGTGACTCCGACGACATTCAGTTCTTTCGTGAGTCAATTGATTGCTCCAAAAAAAAAAAGTCATTGCCACAGAAACCTCAAACCCCCCAAAACCAGAAACCTTTGAGCGTGACTTAACAGAAGCTCAATCGCACTCATGGTCCGATTGAAGAAGAAAAAAAAAGTCAGCGTTTTCAGAGGCGGTGTGATGAGAACGTGCTCAGCAGGCCCACTTGTGTTCTTGACGTCTGGAGGGAGAAGAGCCGAAGCAAAGCATGAACGAGAATCTACATCAAGATGTCGCCGAGAGCATTTCCAGATTCCAAAGATCGCGCGGGAGCTAACTCACCGTGCGACAGCCACCGCGTCTCACTTGGCAAGGGGCTCGGAATCGGTGGAAACGGCTGAGGAAGTGCAACCACAGCGTGAGATATGGAGCAAAAGCAAGTCACATTCGCGGCGCTGTCAGATCTTCTTCTTGCGTCTTTTTGTCCTACAACTGTTGCCGCGTCTGCACTCCACAGTACACGGCGTCATATCGCGTATTCTTTGTCCTCTGCGTCCAAACAACTAATATTAGTGACGTACCGATGACCTCAAAGGATTTAAGATGCCTTAATTAGCGTCTGACTTAAACTGTCCAAGATGGCCGAAGCTCAGTGGCCATCAATCATCAGTGAGACCAAACAAAAACAAACATGTTGTACCTCATAAAATCGATTTCATTATCTCCTGACTCTGTGCGTTTATGTATGATTTTTATTTTTTAAATATAATTTCAGGGAGGGCTATTTGAAACGGCTGATTGGCATTTCCATTCATTTCATTGAACAAAGAGGATTTGCAAAGCTCGTGGTTTCGGTTACGAGCATGGCCACTCAACAAATTCAACTCGTATGAAAGCCACCGATGTTGGGGTTCTTTTTTTGTTTTTTCTGTGCACAGCGAGAGCTTCTCACGGCGCTTCTCCATCAACATTCACGTGTGCATCGTTAAGGAGCCGACTCTTCCTGCCATTTCAAGTGACTCCTGATTCCCACTTGGGCAGCAAAGACCTAAATCGGACCTTTGTGGAACTGCCTCGTTTATTGTGGCTCAAAGGAAACAGAAAATGTTTTACTTACGCGCTGCAGAGTATCGGGCTGGAAGGAAAGAGAAAGAAAGTTAGGATGACGGACTTTTTTCCATAAGTGGCGCAAGTTCTCTTTGGATCTTCACAGCAGAAAAGATCTTGGCGTCCCTCACCTTGTCTGTTCAGGCGACGCTTGGCAAGGACCGCCGCCGCCCCCGCCGCTAGCAGAGCCAGGA